CTCATCAAGGTCATTTATGAAGAGATTGATCTTGATGAGGGGATTGGCACTTGTGGCACTTGGAAAATAAGCGTTTCTCTTCTGCTCTCTTAGTTTGTGCTGCCGTCATTATTTTAATTTAATGGACATGTCTGACTGTATGCAAAGGCTTCCTTACCTTTCAGTGACTGGATTTGATTTTTTCCATATGGCGCAGATGAGAAATTTCCACAAAAGAAAAAGCAGGTTGGGGGTGCCGAGGAATAACCTGGGGACAGAGCGGATCTGTGAGTACAACGCCCCTTCACCTCAGCATCTCTCAGCTTTCAGCCCCCGCTCCGCTCCAGGAAAGGCAGAAACTGAAATAGCGCTTCAAGCTCTGCTGCTATTAATACACCTGAACTGGTGGGTTTTTGCATACAGGCTTTTGTTAGCTTGAAATGCTGATGGCAATGTAGAAATGTCACTGCAAGGGAGCCCTCTGTTAGTGACTGGCCCAGTAACACTGTGAGCATCGAACCAGGCACTGACACAGCGACATAACTGCACACCGTACAATTACAATAAATCACAGGATTTTAAAACACACTCTTTCCTTAAAGAGAAAAATAGCAAGTAGGTAGCAAGGGATTACTGTTCATCTCCATGCATCCTTACAATTCAAGGGCTCTACCAACGCTTAATTCGCTCTTTGGCTTTATAAAGCAACAGTAACTGGAGCTGCCTGAGCATTTGAAGAATCTGATGAATCCTCACAACATCACCAATCACGCAGAAATACACACTTTATAGCACAGAATCACAGAATCCCAGACCGTTAGGGACTGGAAGGGACCTCAAAAGCTCATCCAGTCCAATCCCCCTGCCGGAGCAGGAACACCCAGATGAGGTTACACAGGAAGGCGTCCAGGCGGGTTTTGAATGTCTGCAGAGAAGGAGACTCCACAACCTCTCTGGGCAGCCTGGGCCATGCTCTGTCACCCTCACTGAGAAGAAGTTTCTTCTCAAATTTCAGTGGAACCTCCTGTGTTCCAGTCTGAAACCTGATTCCCATCCCTGAAATTAAACAAGGACATCTACTGAGGCGTTCCTCTCGTCTCGGGTCACTCCATTTTCCTAACACGCGGTACCAGCCTTGCAGTGACTTCACTGGTTTTCAATCCAGTTGGTAAATAGGACAGAATTGTTGATACCAGAGAAATGGCTCATCGATGTTTTGTCCTTGCTATTCCACTCAGCTATGACTGTTAGTTTATAATTACGAAGCTTATTACTTCCCTGTTTAAAAAAGGCCTCAAAACAGTAAATGCAATGCATGCATTTAACCTCGCTGACCACAGTCCCTTTACTACTTCCGCATACGCAACCTTAGGTCAAGGTCGCTTTGCTCCAAGGATCTTCCCACTGACCACGATAGTGAACTGGTGTCGTGACTTCTGCACGTGTGTGGTGATTTGTGTCCCATTTTCCTCAGGTGAGCAGCAGTTTCCCACCCTTAATTCTATGGTGCTTATTCTTAAAGCAGCCACCCTCTCCCACTGCCGTTCTACTTTGGACAGACAGGACCGGCCGCTCCAAAACTGCTCTGCAAGACAAAGCAGCAAATCACGGCTCTCACAGGTGCTTGCTATCCAAATATTGCCAACATTACCAAGGTTGTGATGTGTGGAAGAAACAGGTTATATTTTAGGAGTAGAGCATTTGTTGTATTTTCTGGTAGAGCCAGAAAGTATTCGAGGGACCGCTGATCTCTGATGAAGTAAGACATGTCACTAAAATCAGTGAGACTTCACTGGCTTTGGGCTTGGGTTCAGTGGGAACCCGCCAAAAAACGCAATTGTTGGGCTTGTTCTAGCTTCCTCAAAATGGAATTTCATCCAAAGTGCACAATACAGTAATAACAGGAGTCTTGAAAATTGTTCCCTGACGTTTTCATGTACAAGTGTGCTTTGGAAAGAAGGCACCCAAACCACGGTCTTGCTGTCGGCTGTGCATTGTCTCCCTTCCTCTGCCTGCACAGTGATGCTCACGTGAGCGACCACACGATGAAGTGTTCTCAAAGCCAAACCAGCACAAAACTAATTCTCCAATAAAGACAATTCATTTTCTGCTGGGGTATTCCCTGAATTAGGTCCCCATGGGGTCAGACTTCCCAGCCCATGCCAGAGAGGGGACTCAGCCACAGACACCGAGGGCCGCCAAGCCATCAGACCACCTTGGTGCTGCTATGGACTACGGAAAATGGTAACAACTGGTAAAAAAAGCAATTCCTACCAACCCGAAAACATGGTGTGAAGCTTTTCCAGTACTTCTGCTTGGTCCAGCCACACATCAGAAAGAAACACAAACATGGCATCTTCATTTTCATCCTCCAGCTGCTTTAGTTTTGCAGAAGCCTTGACTGAAGCTGAAGAAGGCCCTCCAAAGAAGTTGATGTTCCCATAGAAGGCTCTACATCGTTAAAATATCCAAATCAGTTCTGCTTTGTTCCCAGATTGTTAGTAGGTTTGATTATGCTTCACTGAAGCCATTTTAATTATTATTATTACGCTAGGCAGCTCGGATGGTATCAACAATCATCTGGTACTTCATGGAGAAACAAAGAAAGAGAAATGGCAGTCACCCAGATTTAAAGCTTTCACAGATCACCTCAGGGCAGTATTTATCGACATGCATTCTTTGAGCAACAAGGACTTTCTAATCCCCATGTCATAGTTACCTGGTGCTGCCATTGAGAAGGGCTCAGATCTCAATTGTTATGAAGACGCAAAACCCAGTGGCCTGTGGAGGGTTTTTCCGCAGGCTCCTTAATACCAGTCCAGATATTGCTTCCTTAAAACTGCTTTTATTTTGGAGCATTTAGGGAGGGGGAAGAATAGCACAGAAACCCATAACAAAATATGGAGCGAGGCTGTTAAAAGTCAGTTTTGTACCTTGTGGTAGCAGAAGGCTCAGTAGGCGGAAATCCAAAAGCTTTCACATGAAAAACCTCATCTTCATACCAACCTAAGAGATTTTTGAACAACAAAATAACCTTTAGTTTTACCAACATCATCATGGCCTAGACATCAGGCAGATGGTCGGCAGCTGCACTGCACAGCTTGCCCCAACCTCCACCAATCCCTCCCTTGTGATAGCCCCAGTCCCTGCGCCGTTCAGTGGTGAACCAGGGAAGTATCTGCCCAAAACACAAGAAACTATTTTTTGACCCCAGTCACTGCACAGTGACAGAAAACAGCATTTTCAGCTTGTGACGCCATACTACTTGGTTACTCTAGTCTGTCTTCCCAATCACAGAATCACAGAATCGCTCGGTTGGAAAAGCCCTCTGAGATCATCATGTCCAACTGTTCCTGTCTACCCCCTAAACCATATCCTTAAGTACCTCATCTACCCACTCTTTAAACACATCCAGGGATGGTGACTCCACCACCTCCCTGGGCAGCCTGTTCCAGCTTCTGACGACCCTCTCAGTAAAGAACTTCCTCCTTCTCTCTAACCTGAACCTCCCTTGGCACAGCTTGGGGCCGTTTCCCCTTGTTCTATCCCCCATCACCTGGGAGAAGAGCCCAGCACCCACCTCTCTACAACCTCCCTTGAGGCAGTTGTAGGTGGTGATGAGGTCTCCCCTCAGCCTTCTCTTCTCCAGGCTAAACAAGCCCAGTTCCCTCAGCCGCTCCTCATCAGGCTTGTTCTCCAGAGCCCTCCCCATCCTTGTGGCTCTTCTCTGAACACGCTCCAGAATCTCAACATCCTTCTTCTAGTGAGGGGCCCAGAACTGAACACAGCACTCGAGGTGCGGCCTCACCAGTGCCGAGTACAGGGGGATGATCACCTCCCTGGCCCTGCTGGTCACACTGTTTTTAATACAGGATATGACAATCCAGTCATATCTCTCCGAGCATGGTGCAGCCAGGCTAAGGTTGATCCTCAAAGCTGCCACAGATGCTCACACCCCACCAACATCACTGAAACCCACCAATTTCGCAGGGTTCTGTTCTCTGTCTCCAGAGCCTATGAGGTGACAGCAAAGGCCCATGCCCAAAAATCTGAGTCACAAACTCGATTTATGGTCAAGCCTCATCAACATGGGCCTGGTCTGCTCAGCCACATCTGACAGACGTGTACCTGCAGCAACTGCCATCACCAGAATAACTCATTACAAGCAAAGAAAAGTCGTCTGCCTTACCTTCTGCCAGAACAAAGCACGACTCAGTATATAAACCACTGTGGAACTGGTGCAGAAAGGTTAAGAAATATATTTTTTCTTCAATCAGGACTCCTAAACTAGTTCTGCAGCCAAAGTTTGCTTTCCAGCTGGTGTAATACATTTGGACAAGACTAAGAGTTTACAGGGTGCCTTAAGAGCCAGGCAGTCACCCTGGTGTTTTAATGCTCAGTATTAATTTACTATTAAATTTGAAATTCTCCAGGTCTATAGGAAGTTTCTTCAACTCTCACATCACAGAAAAAGGATATGGCTTTACTAAGGTCTATCTGGACGACTCCTGTAGGGTCTTCTAGGAAAAACTTCCCCTAAAAAACAGGATTAATTAATAAAGCCAAATATACCCAACCATGAAATGCTTCAAAAGACATTTTCCCTCACGCATCAGCATCAACCACTTGTGGAAAAGTCTCTTCTTAGGGAATGGATCTTGCACCACTGACACTGATGCAAGTTCTGCCCCTGACTTACATGACAAGATGAAGTGGTGAGATATTTAAGACTTCTCTTTTTCTAATATATTATAACACTGAAGGAATGGTGACCTAAATACTCCACAATAAAAAGCAACCTACCTCCTTCAGCTGAGTTATCATCCCAAGCACAATCACTTCTCCCACTTTAGCCGTATTGCCCAACAGAGTTTCTATTGTTTTAAGCTGTAACCAAAGGCAAAAAATCAAATGAAAATTAAATCAGACTCTCCATGTAACTATTCTTAAGCAACCAAGACCAAGCACCACACAGCACATGTGTTTACAATACACAAATGAGCTATGAGAGAATTCAGGCTCATCACAAACATCAGGGACACATTTCTGAGTGTCAAATGCAGCACAGTTTAGGACAAGATTTCCAATAATGGCTGTTTGCATAAAGAACTGCTTAGCAAGTACGTATTTATCAGGATCATTTTGCTTACAAGTGCATTCAAACTGAAAAGAACAAGTGGCAATTTCTGCTCCTGCCTAAGGACGTCAGCTGTGGTAACGGGATCCTCAGCAGGACCCGCTCTGAGCCACGGGGCCTGCGCCCGCACAGTGACAACGATGGCTTTTCTGGAGCAGCCTGGGGTGACAGAGCAGCACTCAGGTGACACCGCACCGCGCGCTGCCCGTGGCTTCTGGACAACCTGCCGTGGGTCTGTCAAGCTGCAGTGGAAAGAGGTGACCCTGCAACACCATCAGCATCAGCAATGCCCTCGCCAGAGCTGAGTCAGGAAGGAAGCAGCCGAGGGAGGAAGATCTCACAGCCTGGACGGGGGTGCGGGCTCCGCTCCGCTCCCCTCAGCTCAGCTGCCTTTTTCTCCACTACGTTTTTTCAGAACAGGGAGAAGCAGGGAAGCTGAGCAAAGCAAAAGCTGCTATTTGGTACCCGGCGACACACACACATGTTCATCTTTTCTTGAAAAAATGTAGTAACGATGCAATATAAGGCAAGCATTTAATATGAGAAAGCTCAGATGCGAACACAACAGTCTAAAGTGACGAGCTTATTCAATTGCAAGTTTGTAAATTCAGTGCTTATGAATGGAAGCAGCAGGGAAATACCCCCAAGCAAAGGGAAGCAAAGTGTCATCCCTGTCCACCTCAGGAAGCCACGTTTCTCTTGCACTTCAGAGCCGCTTTTCAGTGCTTTGGTCATTGAGCCGATCCGAGCCAAATAACTGCGTTTTTGACACACAGGCTAAAAATGACCAAAAAGAACTCATGTCCATTGATGACTCGTATTGGCTGTAAAACTGAGATGTCACTGGAGAACTACTACTGCATTGAAGTGTAACACAAGTACAGTTCCCTTTGCAAGAAAAAGAAAACCAGATTTTTTACCTGGAATTTGCTCCCGCTGTCATCAGGATGAGCAGCGATGGCTGCAGGAGTGAACAGCTCATGTCTGTGAGTCCTCTGCAGAAACCAAATCGAGTAATCCAGTTTAAAAATAAATGAGCACTGCCAAAAAGCCACTTCATTACCACCACTACAAAATAGTTTTTAAAGTATGACTTGCTAATCAAATGTAGCACTGAGCCAGGTGATGGGAGGGAAAAGAGCAGGACACGCACAAAAACACAAAATCCCCTCTCACCACAGGATGCTGAAATGGAGAAACACATGAACCCATCATGCTGTATGGTGACAGCTGAGAAGATCGCTAAACCTCAGCACAGATCCTGTTCTTACTCAGATTTTATTTAAAATGTACCTCACAAAAGCACCTCAACACAAACCACTTCTGTACACATAAGAATATAAAAACTGGCACTTGTTTGGTGTATTTTGTTAAACAAAGCAAAACTTTTCCTGACCTGCTGTAAGATGGAGTAGCGCTCACGAAACAACTCCGCTTTATCTCTGGCAGTTCCGAATAAATTGGGTACAGGAAAGTTGGTCATTGACAGACTGCAAGAAGTTTAACCAAATGGAGATTAAAAAAGGTACATTCCACACACAGAAGCGATTTATTGATCCAGATGTTGTAGGAGGCTGCAAAAGCTGTAACACTACTGCAGAATTTATTTACTGAACGAGGAGGATTTCTGCAAGGGATCCTGCCTTTCTGCAACAATTTAATTTCCCCCTAACTCACAGTCCTCAAGATTTATCTTTCCACCTGAACGGGACTCTGCAGAAATCGGGTTTTTAAAAAGCAGTTTTGTCTTTTAAGTGGCCACGAACAAGAGTATTTTCTTCCCCTTGGTTAGCAGATTTTCTTCATGGCATTCTCTGCTTGCGATAGCCCGGAAAGCAAGAAAGTGGCGCTGGAATGAAACTCCCCTGCAAACACAGAGGATGCTTTTGCGGGGTTGGCAGAATCACGGACCAAGGCTAGAAAACGAGTTGCACTTTACATGGAAGTTGCTGCAATTTACAGGTAAATTCTTTAGCTAGCAAAATATTTACAACCAATTCCTCCAACTGCTTCTTCCTTTCTCTAATTTTTCTTTTTTAGCTTTGTAGCTCTCCTTAGAAATCTCCCAGGGCTCTGGGGAGTTGCAAGCTGCAGTCTAAGAAATAAATATATGCAACAGACAGACCCAATTTATTTTAAAATAAATTAAACAGCCAAATGTGAAAAAAAACCAAACGAAAACAAACTACTTTTAGTGATGAATGTTCTTAGCCTTACTGCCTCTTTGACTCATTAGATGGCATAAACGTGGCTGGGCATTTTACTGCCTGATAATCATCGAAGTTTCAGAGCCAGTAACAGCAGCGGCAGCACAGAATACGCTGAGTTACAGGTGCCCATTTCAGCTTCATCTTCTGGACTAGGAAAAACCCCATGGCACATTTAGTGATGAGCCAGCATTTACCACAGAGTCTGCCTGGCTCTTCAGAGACTCATAAACAAAGTTATCTCACTTTCTCACCCAGGCTTGAGATGAGCAGGCCCAAGATCAGAAAACAGACTTCTAACCATATAGAATAGAGGGGTTTTTTCTTAAAACAAGAAGCAGTTGAACCTGAAAATATGCAAGACTTACGGTAGAAACTTCTTTCTCTCTGAATTATAAATATAACGTGGAATATCGAAGGCTCCAATAATGTTGAAAACATTTTCTCTGAAATAAGAATACATTTACATCGTTATCTGACGTGCATGAAACAACCAGTAACAAAACACGTTGAATAAAGTCATATTCCTTGTGTTCACCATCACCCTGCGTTAGCACCATCTCTCCCACGTCACTGTACCTATTGGACACTACTGCACCTTCTAGTTTTAAAAAGGAAACTCTTCAGAAGTTCGTTTAGAAATGAGGGAGGGATACAGCTCCTGCCCTTACCACTGCATTACCATGTCAATACACAACGGAAACACTAAAGGAAACACATTCATCACGATCACAAATAAAGTTCTCAGAAGCTGAAATAATTGCTCTGCTTTGTTATCACAGAGTGGAAACCAATCACAGTTTATAGAAAAAAACAGAAACAAGCACCACAAAGGAAAACTTTTCCAAGTGCTTTCAGAAAAGAAGTCTCTTATGAAAGGCACAGCCTTAGATAATTCTAAACTAGAGAAAACAACAGAGACATTACAGCACTAACGAGTTCTCTCAGTATTGTAACTGTTGGTTTATTTTATTGGTTAACATTCAACCTGTATCGCACGTAACACATAACCATAGCATTTTATTTCCAGAATGTCAGCATTGTATTTAGAATCCCCCGGAGGCCTATCCAGGAGAAAACATTTTATAGGAAGGTACATCACTAAACTTCAAAGACAGGACCAGGAAGACAAAAGCAAAAGCAATTACCGCATGTGTAGCACTGCAGAAGATGCCTGGCATTTATTTCCCAAGAAAAAAATAAAGGAAATACGATTCTGTGAAATGCACACCAAATCCCCTAAACCTCAGATGAAAAAACAACGTCACCGTACATGGTTTCATCCGATCCCTGGCTGCACTCTTGGACGGCTGCTTCCACTGTGGCTTGTTCGATCATATTGGATGACACTGAAAAAAACAATAAATTCAAAGGTTTAAAACTGCAGCCTATGGGAAGTGGTAAGTGAGAAAGTAAGGCCTCAAATATTTTACATTAGAAATGGTCCAGTCTTCTCAGAGGAATGTATTACACAACCAAGCATGTTTTCAGTGAGCTAATGACTCAAGTGGATCACTTAATATTCTTACCAGGATACATCTCTAGCAAAAAAATAGCCCACACACATCCTGTGCCCACCACTAATGCACTAAACATGGAGAACAAGACAATTATAGTTTATGCAAAGCTGCCAAATACTCTACAAATGTGTCAGATCTCAGCTTACACATTCTGGAGGTTAATTTTGTTCCAGAGCATCATCACACAGATTGCTGTCATAAATAAGTATTCCAACAGTTTAACACCATTTTGGAGATAGGCACATTGTTGTCTTCGTGGATTTAAACTGATAAATGAAATCTAAAAATATTTATAAATGCTAATGGTTTTAGTGAATTTCAAGGGAAGATCAATGAATGCAGAATCACAAAAGGACTTGGTCAGCATTTCCAAACCCGACTGCTGAGCTCCTGGAACAGAAACCAGGACACGAAAACCTGCCTTGGAGTTCCCTGTTCAGGGCATGGGACTTAAAATCACAATTTGTACCAGGATTTATGCTAGATCAGGACCAGTTCTTCAATCCGCTTTTCCTCCCCATTTGATCAGCTCTGATCTGTTATTTCATAGCCAGACTGAGGATATAAAGCCGTAACTTCTGTAGTCTGTGCTTGAATAAAACTAAACCAGGCATGTGCCCACCCTTGATTTAATTTGGTTTAAACAGGATAGGCTGGGATGGTTTCCTGAACTCACCTAAGTATTTATTTTAGGTCACGTTCATATGGGTTTGAATCTCCTGGGCCAACAACTGGAAGTGAGCCCAAGTTTCCCAGTTCTCATGAGCTCTGAGCAGCACACACCTACATCAGGCATCGGTGCCACCTCTGTCAGTCACATTCTTTAACTAAAGGCATTGTAACTCCTGTATTTTGTGCTGTCAGACTGGGTGAGGTATTTCTTGAGCTACCAGGCCTTTCATGGCGTTTTGGAGCAGGGACACTGGATCTGTGCCCTCAGCACACACTGTCCCCATGAAGCAGGAGGCAGTCCCCACACAAAATACTCCTGCCAAGATGATGGAATTGTGGGCATGCTCAGAACCAAATGGGTTGTAAGAACTTCACCCGGCAGAGCTCCGCTCTTTCAGTGTCTCGTGTTTTTATGGGTTTTTCCAGGAGTTTTCTCGATTGCACTTTTGGACTTAGTAATCTGTAGAATTTGATGTACTTTCACACGCCAAGCTGGTACAGCTTCTCCAGCACTGTGGTGCCTGTTACCAGCACCTTCTGCCCAGTGTAACCACCACGAGACCATGTTGGCATGACAGAACATCAGCATCTGCCTGTGATCATCCCAGTGACGGTTAAACTCCATCCACACCTGATTTAATTTAACGTGCTGGACCATTTTACTGATGCATGTGCATCTCCCACTCCACTTGGGTGCAAGGGAATGAAGAAATGCAACAGTGTCCTTCTTGAGGTCACAGGTAGGCTCCTCCACTTACAGCTGTCAACAACCCCAACCTGGACCTGACCTACTAAATGACAGGTGAATTAACTTCTCATTATTTCTTTGGTTTATTTTAATATTTACAGTGGTAGTTTCAGGTGCAAAGATGTCCACACAAACTCAGCTAGGTGCTTTTAGTAGCTGGCATTACAAAATTTCACTACTCTAGGAAAAGTCACGGAGGTACCAGGCTGCCAACTTTAAATGGCAAAATTACATCTTCCACTGACATTGCAAACGTCAGTATTTAACAGAACAAAATGTCAACACATTTATCATGATCAACCTGGTGGACTAGAATGACACCTTAGTGCATATGCTGCCAGTAACTCTGTCTTTGTCTAAATAACATCATAAGCACAAGATAAGCTTAGCAACTTAAGACAAATAAACTGTTTACTTACAAGGCTGTTTTTCAACGGCATCAATGACATTTTCAATTATGTTGTCGAGTTCTACTTCACTGACGGACTGAAAAGCTTCGGTAAGATACTTTAGAGCATCCCTAATTCCAAGGAAGAAAGTCAGCTCAAAAAGCAATTAATATTCAATACAGTTTATATAAACTACGCCGATTTTGGCAGATGTGCACATAATCACTAAACAGCTTGTGATCAGAAATAATAAGAACTGCATAATACTGCACTAATTTAAGTCAAAGAAAAAAAACACATCAGGATTGAAAACATTGAGGATAAGAAGCAGAGAAGCTCATCTTAATACATTCACAGGAAGACTCGTGCCAGAAGGGACCTCTAAGGTCTGCTGGTCCTGCTTTCTGCTCTAACAGGCCAGTCACACTGCTCACTGGGATTAGATCCTCCTGAGCCTTCCTTTTTTGAGGTAGAATAAACCCAAATACTTGGCACTTTTTCCACATCAAGTTCTCCAACCCTCTAAGCATCTTGGTGGTCCTCCGCTAGACCCTCACCATTTTTTTAATGTCTCTCTTGAACTGAGGAGACTAGAACTGGATAGTCTCACTGTTAAAGACAACAACTTTATTATTAACATAATCTGTCAGCCAACCAAAACTGGTATTTTGGTTAACAGCCTGACCTTCAAAATGTCCCAATTCATTTAGCTGTGGGAGTTGGGAGCTCTGAACTTGGACTCCTCACTAATGAAATGGCCAGGACATTGTCTAAAATAATCACATCCTATCCATGCCAGAAACAAAATGGAACTAATATGAACGCACGATCTTGAAAGAAAAATAGAAGCAATGGAGCCCCAGGCACTCTTATAACCCATGACATTTTCCACTGCAAGCAGAAATTGCTTTTCCTTGACCTCGCAATCTCTAATACGTCCTATTACGTACCAGCGGAAATACCATTTCTGCCTCTGGTAAGGGATGCTGGACACAGAACTGGAAAGTGCAACTCGGGAAAGAGATCCCAGAGTTGTCAGGGGCAGCAGGAGACCAAAAAAACCCAACAGCACCACCACCCTTGAGGGTACCATGGGGAGACCCAGGGCAACTTTTGGTGCTACCCAAACCCACGCTGGACTGGACGCCGCAGTGGGTTGGGTCACGGGTGGAGACGGATGGAAGAGGCCCACAGCAGCAGGACAGGCAAAACAACAGGGCTTCGGCAGAGGAACTCTGCAGGCCTCAGTGCAGGGGCGAGGAAGAGAAAGAAAGGCATCCCCACGTCCCCGAGGCGGCGACGCTGGGGGGTGCGGACCCGTCCCTGCCCAAATCCCAGCACGCCAGAGCCCCGAAAGCAGGAGGTGGGCATGAGGGAAGGATGAGAAGACCGCCCCCGGCCGGAGCAGGTACCGGGCAGGGCTCCCTC